CACAGTGTTGGATTCTATCCAATACACACAAAGCAGTCTGGCCTTTAATTGGGATAATGAAAATCTTTTTATGTATCTGAACCAATGATGAACTGAGCATAATGAAATACTTAAGATTCATTTGGTATTTTGTCAGAACAATGCTCCTGGCCCAAAATCTGCCAATATAAATTTTAAATCTGTAAACATGTACAGTATAACTTTACTTTTAAACTTGAAGGAAGAAACAAGATAAAAGTCTGACCCTGCTAAATATAGGACTGGATCCAGTTTATGAAATTCATCTGCAGTTCTTCATTTGGATATCGGAAACTACTACAAAGGCAGATGGAAACAATAAGCAGATTCGGCAGATGAGATTTCCTTTATCTCTGAATTTTGTAGCAATTTGTGTTACCAAAAAAGTCAGCATCAAATAAAAAGCTTAAACTGCTTAGGATGTTTTTCCTCCTTCAGATATTTAAGCTAATCCTAGCTTTAATTAATTTAAATCACGTGCTTCTTTTCATATCCTTGCTAGCACATTGCTAGCAAACAAAGTGAAACACATTGCTTTCACTTCATCTTGATGACATCTGTCCAAATCTGCTCCTTCATTCTTGATCCAATTGATCCAATTTTAGACATACTGAGCAAAGAAATCAAACTGTGGCCAGGGAAGATTGGAGTGACAGAGTCACCACACCCAAAGCCTTGCCAGCTCATGACAGTCACAGTACTACTTCTAATTCTTTTTAACAATCCAGTATAATTTTCTTTAAGGTCACTAATGGCTTGCTAAACATACCAAGTATCACAGCAAGCCATATGCATGCAGCATATCCTTTGACAATGTTGAGTGTTATTTTCTACCAAATAGGCCACTGGTCATACAAACAGATTTTGCTGCCCTCTAGTGGGAAACATAGGTTTCCAGCCTACCAGAAATTTCCTGTGGAAATTTATTAAAAAATAGGTACAACACAGATAATCTGTCTGCATCCTATAACCTTTGTATTGATTGCCAAGGTGACATAGCAATGTGGATACTTACCGCCAAGATGAATACAGTTTAGTTTATACAGTACAAGCCAAATTGTTTTTGTATCTAATAAAGTATCTTTCTAAAAAGTGTTATATTCTTGTTTAAAACACACACTAAAATTTGTTATTTGCTAAAGAAATATTCTAAAATTTGAATTTTCTTCTAACAATGAATACACAGATATAATATTATAAACAACTATTGAAAAGATTAACATTTGTTCCAGCATCAAACACAGAACTGGACTGCATATTTGAGATGTGATTAAAATGGATTCTCTCAAGAACACGATTTTGTGCACAAAGCAATCTGTACTACTACTACTAATTAAATTTGTATACTGCCTTTTCACCAAAGATCCCAGAGTGGTTCACAATGGAAAAATACAAAATGAGAATACAAAATACATAATAAAACTTATTGTATCTATTAGAGCAGTCATGTCTGTGCCATATGTGAGCAATGATACAAAAGGCCTATATAATGATATTTGGGTGGGGCATGGATTATTTGCATGGGGGGGGGATGATATTCAATGAAACATGAAAGTACCTTTAACATTCTGAACCACCGCAGACATTAGTTGCAAATAAACATTACGTGCAGCAATGAAACTGCAAATGATCTAAAACTGCTGCAAACTGGGGACAAAGACAACAAACTATATCACTCAAAATTCAATAAAACTGTTTGCTTTTCCCAGAAAATGCCAGAGAAGAATGTCAAAGGCATTTTTTTCAGGTTCTTTATTTTTAAGAATAGGCTGCCAAATGGCATATCAGCCATGTTCACAAGACACATTAAGTCACACTTTAGGTGCAGGGGTGAAGAAGTGGATTCAGCCTGAGGGCAGGTTTTCCTCCTGCAGGGCAGCATGGACACGTGGGTAAGGCCACGCATCTGTCAATCACCTGGTATCACAATGACATCAGCTGACCAATTTTCCTCTGCCCATGCAATTTGGAACTGAACTATGTGGCAAAGGCACAGAGCTTTGCAGGCATCAACAATCAGCTGATTATTGTCAGGCAGTGCTTGCAGAAGCAGTTTTGCAAGCACCGATGATCAGCTGATTATCATTGCCTGCAGAGCACTGTGTTTTGCAAGTGGTGCCAATCAGCAGCATGGATTGGCCAAAAACGACCTGGTTTAGAGTGATGTGCATTAAGTCAGAGCTTGCATGCTTTCCTCTTCCCTCTCCGCCTCCTGCACAGTTTGGAGGAAGAGTTTAGGAATTTCTGCTTCCACATTTGCTTAGCCAGTTTGTCACTTTGTTTGAATAATAGTGATTAATAATAATAATAATAATAATAATAATAATAATAATAATAATATAGTTATACCCGGCCCATCTGGCTGGGTTTCCTTAACTAAGGTTTGTTTAAAACAAGTCAACTAAAACAGAGCCACTGCACTCTCAATGTGCTGAAACAAAATTTGAAATCTTATATACTTGATTAGTGTTACTTAACTTTAAAAAAAGAAATAGGAACTTCCCGTTTCCTTAAGGTAATGTGTTGGAATTGTGCAGAGTCATTCCATCTGCTGTTAGGATCACCATTACTCTGGTACCATTATGCAATGAAATTTTCAAAAATGTATGAACATTTTAAATGTAAGACACAGCAGAAGAGATTAATTAGAAATATTTGTTGATTCACTCAAGCTTCACTTGCATTACATTGCTATCATTGCAGATTAACAGGCAAAGAACCATCTGTTGTGAGAAACAAGCAGCAGCAAAGGAAGCTTAAGAGGAAAAAAAAAAGATGAGGTACTTCTCAAAGCCATTCAAAAGGTTCTGACAGACTCAGAAAGTAAATAAAGGACTTTCAAGTACAGTTTTTAAAACCTTATTTTAAAGGGTAAATAGCTATCTGAATCCTACTTAAGGGGGGCTGTTGTGTTTATTATTGAAAGAAAAGCAACATTTACAGCAGTGATCCTATCACTTTAAACTGGCAATAAGTTTTAATAATGTATTTGTTTTCACAAGAACTTTTGCTTTCAAGCTTTCTGTGCTACAATACAGCACTGAAAGAAAATTCAGCTATATTACTTACTGTTATTTATTGTGACATGTTTTGAAAACTCCTGTGAATTATTTTATTCTTCCAGTGAGGATGCAACTGGTAGATTTGCCTAGATTCTCTTCCCCACCTCCACTCCCATGCTTATTTTAAACAGATCTTTGGAATGAGTGATGACATGTGTGCAAGGGGAGCCCAGGAAGAGGAAAAGGTGAAATCTTCCCACTTCAGACCTCAAAAGACTTACATTTCAATCCAGCCCCAATGCATGGTTGTTGGTTTTCAGAACAATGGAGTCTTCTCTAACATATATTAAGCAAACACATCTGTGTTGTGGATTATGCAGGTAATTATTTTATGGTTGAGAGCAAGGTCAAATCTGAAAGATCAGGGAACTGCATCACAGTTGTGCAATGTCTTCAGTTATTTTCTTTTATTCAATCATTTCCACAAGTGAACTAGTCCAATACATAAGGCTTGGTGTTCCTTTACCATACACATCTCAGCACCACACATTTGGTGGCCTCATACATCAAACTCTTAAGCCCACACAAGAATACTTTTAACTGACAGCCCCTTCCTGTTTTGGAAAGCTTAAGGAACTTCTGCTGAGACTAGATAATAGGGTTATCAAAAGGCAAATGCCTTAAGATCTATTCCTGCATTCAGACGCTATTCTGCGCCGACATGCAATTTATGTAGTGATTAAGCCCTTTAAAAATAAAACCAAATTGCAGCTGTTTTGCATGAGTGTCAACCAAAAGCCACCAGAGGTAGCAGTTCTGGGGAAGTTTAAATAGATGGCATCTGCCTGTGCAAAGGACATATCATGCCTGTGAAGAAAGTTGTATTTACAGCTGGGACACATGGTGCAAAATGAAAACAGGCAGCAGTGATGTTAAAGGAATATCACCAACAAAAGCATTCCTGTTAAAAATTGATCTGAGGAGCTGAAGAAACTGCTTGCATTATGTGTTTGTGAGATCTTAAAGGAATGGCAATATATCTGGGCTGTCTATTCACCTTACGTTTGAAACTAGATATTCAATAATCTAAGTGAACAGAGACGAAAAGATATGGATAAACACAGGGTTAAGTTTCAGAAGTGTACAGATTTTTAATAATGTTAGTTTGTACAATAAGCTGAAGTGCAGAACAATCATAGAATTTAAGGGAGAAATTGATCTAATGCACCTTTTATGGAAGGGATGGAGAACCTGTAGCCCTCCTAATGTTATGGACTCCAACTTCCATCTTCTCTTTGCCATGCTCTCTAGAGGTGATGGGAGTTGAAGTCCAACAATATTTGGAGGGTTGTGGATGCTTCATCCCTGTTTTACAGCCCAATATTTTATTTTGTCTATTCAGAATTACACCCCTCTGTGTTTAATGATTCCAGGCAACTGTGCCTAGGACTTAAATCTTAATCTCTTCTTAATTCACAAGTATATGCTGGAGTTAGGGTTGCCACCTTTGTTCTGGCAAAAGACAGGACAGGAAAGGGCAGTGTGGTTGGGGCTCCCCTATTTTTTTTATCTAGTGCTGAAGTGATTTCAAAGCAATCCATTACAATCTACTGCAGCCTAACAGGATGGCCTCTCTGGAATTTGTCTCTCTCACACACGTATTTGTAAATCTGTCTGTGCTTGGCTTAAATACATGAACTTCCACACACCCTTTCAGACGCATACATTTGGAGATGATCCCTAACTTGGTAGAGGCAGGGGACGACGACACCTGAAATACGGTACTGAACTGTATCAATACAGAATGTAGCATTTGAAATAATAATTAAAAGTTGGTCCATTAGAAGAAGAACCCCCCCCCTCCAAAATCCACAGTTGGACATATACTTTATTAGGACCTGCCAAAGTTTTGTCAAAACATCCTTTGGCAAACAAATGAATTTCAACAGGAATAGCATAAGGCAAATAAAACAAACCTACCTTCTCCTGGATTAACCGCTGCTGGCAGACTGTCCCAATCTAGAGTCCAATTAGGGCAAGGATGAGGGGAAAATGTTGCTTCAATACCACTTTTCTGCATTTAAGAGGGGGGGGAAATCTTAAATCAGCTAAATAGGAATGTGAACTTTGCAAGTACTGTAATGATGTCCAAATGTTATGGGAAATTATGTTTGTTAAACAGCACCTGTAAAATACAGAGCCACTCTGTTTGTCAACAAAACATGCTCACTGGGACTAAGGGGAGTTGGAGTCTGAAACATTTGGAGTGTATCAGGCTGGGGAAAGCTGGCGAACATGAACCAGGAAATCTCTAGTTCAAATCTCAGCTGAGCCATGAATTCAGTATTTGGGTAGGCACCTGTTCTTTCAACCTCAGTCTCCATCTGCAGTATGGTTATAATGCTGATCATCTTTGCAGAGCTGTTATAAGGGTTACTTGGGAGTTTTGTCTACTTCAAATGAGCTGTATCAGCATTATAGGGTCCTCCCCCTCCCTGGTAGGATTATACCATCAAACAAAATACAACCTATTTTTAGTGACAGAGACCTTTGATAGAGAAATATGCTTGATATTGCAAGAAGCCAGATAAAAAGTATCTATTATGGATGAATGCATTGAAAAGTGCCTATTTTGTGTTAAATATTTAACACAATTTAAATGCTGACTTTTTGTGCTTTCTTTCAAAATATCTGCACAATCCATTCTATTACTCAGTGCCAGTGCGTGAGTGTGTTGTGTGTGAAACTATTAAGTTACCATTAATTTTGTCATGGTTGGCCTTGGTCCACCTATAAATGAAGTGTCTTCATGCTCTTCCTGTGGCTCATCAGAAGCTGTGCAGATAAACTGCATGTGTTCATCTGATAAAGAGACTGAGCCTTGATGGGGTAAAAATTGCATATTGCATTTGGCAGCAGCTCTCTTTATTCCAGGTACTTCCTGAACTCTCTGGAACCAACTAGATATCAATGGCAATCTTAACAAGTTCTCTTGGTGTTTCTTGCTGAAACCCTGCAAGGAAGAAAACAAAGCTCTGGTTATCAGAGAAAATTTATGAACCTACCTGATGTACAAGCATGAATCAAGCGTGTCTCTGTTGTCTTAAGACATTCACTACCTTGTGGGCTTAACCCAGGAATATATTGGCTTTCTGCCTCACTCAGATTCAAACTGATGAGTGGTAGTGGTGGGGTTGTACACAAAGAGAGATTCTCATGCCTAACTTAACCACTATGACTACAAAGAGTGACATAATAGATTAATGGATTTAAAGCTTAAAAATAAATAAATCAGAGCCACTACAGGAATAGAGCTTTTAGTGGAGCCAGCATTGTGGTTCTACCAGTCTGCAGGGGCTGCAGTCCTAAGCACACTTACTAGGGAGTAAGTTGCATAGAACTCAGTGAGACATACTTCTGGGAAAATATGCTGAGAATACATAAGCTCCAAGCGATTCGTCTCTTCCCAACATCTACTAGATAATGTTGACAGTTTACTGGGAAGCAACATACATAAATGTGTAAATCCTTACAAAAAAATGATGGATGCATGGAAAGAGGACTACATCAGCCAAAGTGAAGTATAGCCCTTCAGCAAAAACGTGTTCCAAGAGTGGCAATTCAGATGTTTTCATCTTCCTAATATGAGAGGGCTCCCTTTTGGCAGCAACTGGTGTTTTTTGCACAGTTAATTTAGATAAAGCTAAACTCAGCTCCAGTTCTGCAGGAGAGGACTCCAGATTTTCTGCTAATCTTCCCTCTTGTGAAGAAACATCTTTACATGCTTCCTTGACGAATGTCTTTTGCTGCTGAACTTTCTGTCTTCGAATTTTGTCATCGTTATGTACTCTTACAGGCTCTCCCAGCTTCTTTTCAAACCGTAATACTTCCTCCGGAATACTCTGAACCTGATCCGAAGACACGCTCAGAAAGTTTTCAACTGCCTGAGGGATGCTGATTTCACAAAGTCTGGTCCATCCACTAACCTGCAAATAAATAGGATTAATCAGTTGACTGTTTTCCAGGCCTTTCATAATAAGGTGGTGAACCTGTGGCTGTCGAGGTGCTGTGGGACTCAAAACACTCATTAGCTCCATCCAGCATGACCAATGGTCAGGGATGATGGGAGTTGTACTGCAGACATATATTAAACTTTGTTTAGTGCATAGCCTAACTGGTCACTTCTGCATTAGGGTCATGCACTGAACAAGGTTTAATATATGTGAAATTTATTATGAGATAGATTTACGAAAAAATAGAAATACTCACTTCAGCACAAGCCTTCAAGCAGGTCTTTTTAAATCCCAAGAGTTCCAAAATGTCCTCCTTTGACGGATCTGCTTCATATGTTTTTTGTACTATGTGCCTCAATACCACAGCAAGTCCTGCTCGACAAAATCTTCCATTCTTCTTGACAACAGCAGGTAAACAGCAGCTCTGGACCACCAAAGGAAGTTGACATCTTTTGATGAAGCAAATATCCAGATCCTTGGGAAATACTGTGTCTTTAGGCTGGGCATCTGAAGCTGTATCACCTGGCAGTACTAAAAATACTCTGAATGTCTTGCAGTCACAGTATGACAACAAAAACAAGGATATGGAGGTGTGGAGAGGAAATACACAATCTGCATTCTGATTAATGTAGTCCAGGTACAGGTGATCTTCAGTCAATCCTTTCATTTTTTTTCTTAAAGGAAGAAATGTGATTAATAAAATTATAAAAGGTTTAATATAAAGCTATGCAAAGCAATAATGAAGATGATCCAGAACACAACCCCTGCACAAATTGGGGGTTGCCTGTATATATAAATAAACAGAAACAGTGATCCCTAAAATCCATCAATTTCTCCCTTTCTCAATATAGTATGCAAATATTAATTAATCTTTGTTGTTACTGTTTCTAAATGGATTTTAATATTCTGCATTTTGAGTATATTTCTTATTGTGTTTTGAAAGGCAGGACAGTTAAAATAAAAATAAAAACAATAAATATTGCCAAGACTGTTTCAAGGTCACATAAGAGAAGGGTCTTCTGAAGCAAACATTTGATTATTATTAATGAAATGCACTTTTTGGAGGGCCATTATAGGGAGGTCACAAAAATTAGTAATGTATATGCAATTCTTTCAAGTATGAAATATATTTGGTTCTATCTAAGTTTTACTCAGAGCAGACATAGACTTAACTATTTTTAAAACTCAATACATTGCGGTTATTCTTTTTGTTTATATATTATATATATATATATATATATATATATATATATATAAACCAAAAGAAAATCAAACTAAACTAAAACCAGAATGGAGGGAAGCAATTAGATGAGAAGAGGAGTGGGTCAGCATGCATAGGTTTGCTCACTTTCAATGTAGAGGCATCATAAAAAACCTGTACATTCAACTAGGGCCAGAGTTCAGTACAGAATTGCCACAGAGCATGATAAGTACCAAATTTACGTAATCTGTAGCTAGTTCATGTATGGAAAGCAAGAATAGATCTCTTGTCCATTGTTGGAGTGTTTGTCCGTTTACTTTTCCAATGTTGTAAAATGATATGTTTGGCAACCAACAGAGCACAACTAATCCATTTCCGTTCCCTGGGGTAAGCTTCCACACAATAAGGAGGTGTTCTATCAAGGCCCTTTTGTCCATAAATTTTAGTTGTTTCCAGAACCAAGTTGATATGATCAGTGACCTCTGTCCAGAATTAGAAAATAACAGGATAGTACCACATCATGTGAAATAAGGAGAGTATTGACTAAATTAAATCTTGATAGCTCAATGGATCTATTCTAACTTTGTCCACATGCAATCCACTGTCATTTTCTACCCACAACCAAGACCGTTAATATCCCTATCATTGCCTTGGATCAAAATATGCAGTTCTGCTAGCAGAAAGCCTCTTCTGCTCAGGGAAGACTCAATTTATGATAGATCCAGAGATGTTCTTCCATTTTACTGAAGACCTTTGTTTCATAGACATATGCTACAGGCATCCTTATTCTCAGTTTCTCATACTGTAACACAAGCCCTATATACTATGGTAAAGGTAAAGGTAAAGGGACCCCTCATCATACTTGCACTTTGATGTGCTTTCGAACTGCTAGGTTGGCAGGAACAGGGACCAAGCAATGGGAGCTCACCCCGTCATGGGGATTCGAACCGCCAACCTGCTGATCAGCAAGCCCTAGGCTCTGTGGTTTAACCCACAGCACCACCCACTCCCTATATACTATGGTAAAGGGTAAAGGGACCCCTGACCGTTAGGTCCAGTCGTGAACGACTCTGGGTTGCGGTGCTCATCTCGCTTTACTGGCCGAGAGAACCGGCGTACAGCTTCCAGGTCATGTGGCCAGCATGACTAAGCTGCTTCTGGCGAACTAGAGCAGCGCATGGAAACGCCGTTTACCTTCCCACTGGAGCGATACCTAGGTTTGAACTGCAGGGACCAAAGAACGGGAGCTCACCCAGTCACGAGGATTCGAACCGCCGACCTTCTGATAGGCAAGCCCTAGGCTCTGTGGTTTAGACATATACTATGGTGCTACATCTTTCACTACATAGCCCAAGAATTCACAAAAACCTAAGACTTCAGTCCTGTTTGTTAGAAGTAAATCTAACAAACATTCTTAGGATTGCAGCATTAGGCTGAACACCTCAACACTTTCTAGGGAATAAGCACTAATGTACCTGGTGAGACTTATTTCTGAGTAAACTGGAAACTTGTACTGGGTTGCACTGTAAGACATTTTCTCCATCTGATCAAAGTTATTCAGATCAAAATAATTACTTTTCTTAGACTACAGCATTCCTGAATTGCAGGGAGTTGAACTATATGACCCTTGGGGTGCCTTCCAACTCTACAATTCTATGATTTCAATTAAAATTACCTTAGTTCTTGACTGAAAACTCAACTTCCGCTCCCTTTACATTATTTTGAAAATAGTTGAACACACAGAACTTAAGGGAATAAATTATATACACAATTAGTTATGATTCTGCACCAATTATATCTGATTTATGGAGACTATATGCTTAGGATCCTAGACTTGAACAATAGAACATATTTAATAAATCCCATTGACTGTCTTTTCAATTACAAATCAGGCTGCAACTCTTGGACGCTAGATGGCACACTTTCAAAACAATTGCAGCTGAAGAACATAATACCATATTAAAAAAACCCTTCACTATACCAAGAACTGTGATTATTTATTCATAGTATTTTTTTTCATCTTTAAGTAGAGCTGAAGTGTGTTATCAGCCAATACAGCTACAACAGATCTGTGCACTGATTTTCCTTTGTATTAATTGTCATTGTTTGTCCAGATGCTTCGCACTGAGGGATGTTTGTCTTATCAAATGCTAATGTTCTGTGTAAACTGTGTCTGGAACTACATAAAACTTGCTAAATCCTCAGGAATATCACACCTTGGCCTGCCTGAGCCACAGTAACCCCACCTTATGTGTGATGTAATTTCTGGTTGTTTGTCCTTCTCCACGCCAAAATAAGGTAAAGATAAAGGTACCCCTGCCCGTACGGGCCAGTCTTGCCAGACTCTAGGGTTGTGCGCTCATCTCACTCTATAGGCCAGGAGCCAGCGCTGTCCGCAGACACTTCCGGGTCACATGGCCAGCGTGTCAAGCTGCATCTGGCGAGCCAGCGCAGTACACGGAACGCCGTTTACCTTCCCACTGGTAAGCGGTCCCTATTTATCTACTTGCACCCGGGGGTGCTTTCGAACTGCTAGGTTGGCAGGCGCTGGGACCGAACGACGGGAGCGCACCCCGCCGCAGGGATTCGAACGCCAAAATACAAACCCTTAAAAGAGATGTTTCTTCTTGCTTCTGGGTCTTTCTTGCCTCCTTGATAGGAGGGGAGAGAACTCTGTTGCAACGGAAAAATAAAGATCTGCCTTGCTTTCACTGCATCCTGCCTCCATCCATTCACCTCTGACCAATCATACTTAGGGGACTCAGTCCCTTGTGTAGGAGCCATCCTACTCTTGTGTAGGATCCTGGTCTTCGGCACACTTAGGGATCCGCAGAGTGTTCGCAGTTTGCATAACAGAACTCAAAAGCTCAGCTTTTGACTAATCTACATTTATTTTCATATAATACACTTGGAGCGTTCTGACTTAGCTCCTTCCTCTTTCTCATCAGACAGCAAAGAGAAAGAACAAAGGACAATAGTCCCACTTCACGGAACACAGTAACACAAACATCCTGTCTCTGTCACTTCCCACTCTGTGGAGTCAAAACATACACCGTCATGTGATAGACAACAATCCCATGACTGCAATCACAGAGCAGGAATCTTAACACCTTGGGGAGTTGGGCAGTAAAAGCCAACCATCCCTATTTTTCTATATCAACCTCAAATCTCTAAATATTGGAAACAAATATCTTTCAGAAAAACACTCACCAATTAATGAGCTAAATGTTCCAGGTGATGGTATTTAATGTTCCGCTGTTCCCCTTTTCAACATCTGTAGTTCAATTACAAAGTTTTAATGGCAGTTGTCTATGAAGGATTTAATCTCCATCTCCACCCTGTTTGCACACTGATCCCTGTAGAGAAAGTCAATCCATTGTAAAGTTGAAATAGAATTACTGTATTTTTCGCCCCATAGGGTGCACTGACCCACAGGGCGCACCTAGTTTTTTGGGGGAAAGGGGGAAAATTATTAAATAAGAAGTCATACTCATCCAGAGCAGGCTAACTGAATGTTGCCCAGGGCTAGATTTATATGATTTCTAATGGCACCTATTTCTGAGTAAAAATGCATAGTTAATGCTAAGTCTCTTAACTTGAAAATAACTCACATTGAAGCAAACTTACATATATAATCAAAGTATCTAGAGGGATTTAATAAGAATTGTTGGTGTAGTCAAATCTGGAAAATTAACTTGAAAATTAAGGTGGAGAACAAAAAAAAAGATTTGTTTTTAACTATGTGGCAGGGAAAAAATATATAGAAAATGATAACAATGTTTGAATGCCTCCTGTGAAATATGCTACTACTTGAAAATCTTTGTAACTTTTCAGCTTCAAGTTACAATATCATGACTTCAAGGACAATATACCAATATTTATAAATAAAAGAAATGTTTACCACCCTCAAAGATCAGTAACAATAATTATTATTCCCAGGAATTGTGAATGAAATCACCAAAATTTGTATTTAAAAAAATATTATTATTTGTGTGGCGTATGTTTATTTTTAATTCAATTATATTGCTTCTTAACTTTTGGTATGTCATTGAAATATATGTTCTTGGTTAAAGAAATATAGAAAAAGAAATATAGAAAAGATTTTTACTTCTGAGTAAACATATTTAGGAAGTGACAGTACTGATAAACGTTATGGAGAAGCTGGTGCATAAAGGGTGTGAGTAGCCCAATGATTTTATCCGGAGTTATTCAACGCATTACTGAAATGGAGTATACAGCCATGTTTTGCAGAACAGGAAGATCTTTTAACTGCTAGTTCTTCCTCTCTCCTGTTTAATACTGCATGAACTGAGCAATTACGGACCCCTCTCAGCAAACCCTAGGGACGTGATTGTCTCACGTGAATGTCTGCAGCCTCCGCTTTCTAGTTGGTACTTGTGAGCAAATGCACCATTTATCCTTTTCTTTCACATTAGCAGTGCACTAGAGTTTGCAGAAGAGGGACACAGCTTTCTACTCCACTTTTAAACTCATTCTGTGGAGAGCAACAAGGTGACATTCTCAATTAAGAGTGTGCCTAAGGCAACAACATTGTTCCTTATTCACAGAGGGCTTCCGAGCAATGAGTAGAGTTCCATTCAGTGGAGATAAAAATAATAAATTCTGCAAACATACAGAAGAACCACCAGGCAGATAGTTCTTCATTCTAGCTTTCTCTGTTGTTTGTTATTACTGTATTTACTCGGATCTAATGCTCACCATTTTTGGCCAAACCACATTGCAAAAATTGAGGTGTGCATTAGATTCGATGGCACATTAGACTCGAGTAAATACAGTACTTAAACTTTTATCTACAGGTACAATTGTTAAGTTTCACAACGGGTTAAACATCATCATTCCCATTTGTTTATTTGATTTCTGTGTCACCTTTCCTCCAAAGAGTTCAGGGCAGGACATACAGTTTCACAGGAAATGTACAGATCTTCCACTTTCTGGCCCTCCACTTTGGTACCTGAGCTCCAGACTTAAACTTCCTTATGGCAATCACAGAATTATCGATAACTGTGTTATTGGCAATTAACATAATTTATTCAAGAGCTGTTCATGCTAGATCAAAGCAAAAACATTCTGGAGCATCTCAGCCTTGTTTTGGAAGCTTAATGAACAACCCTATGCAAAGGAGCTGAAATTTGCCGCAAACACTGTAGGACGTAATTTAAAAGTACAGTTTGGCCTAAATCTCAAATTTAATAATACTACATTCAAAAAGTCACTGGTTATACACAAACCGGTGCACCTCAAGACAGGTGCTACCATTATTTTCACCTGTGTCTTCCACAGAATATACCAGCTGCAATATAACATGCTCAATTCAGTCTCACCGATATATATTCTGTTGATATTTAAAGAAATCAATCATAGTTTAATCCTGCAGGCTTTCTTTCATTGTCATTCCCCAACCCATCAAAAGCCTTTTTGTCATAAAACAGATAGTTCAATGGCATTATCTCAAATATTTATCTAGGGGAAAAGGTCTTTTTCAATCTAAGGCAGATGGCAGTGATCAATACAAGCCAGCCTGCTATGTTCAAAGGCCTCCTGCCTTTTATTCCAGCTTAGCTGGTCTCTCAAACAATTGGTTCTCCTTTTAAAACCTAGCACTGCCAGTTTCCTGAGTGAACAAGTCTGTTATTACTATTAAAAAGAAATGCCACAAACGATTTTAAAAAAGAATGTTATTTACCTAAAACAGACCAACATGAGAATGACAGTCTACCCATCACTAACAAAAGGTATTTTTTTAACAACTCTTACAAAATTAAGAGGTATGGATGGCTAAACAATTTCAGTATTTTCACGCCCTGAAAACAACAAGAATAGTTTGAAACAACAAACTATTCTTTTACAAACTGATTTGCGTAAATTATCCCCAGTTTACATTTGCATATAGAATGCAAAGCCTGCTCTAGAGGTGATCCAATGCTTGTGCCACATTCTCATGTAATTTCCTGGGAAATTATCCAAATATATATGTGTGTATACATATATGGACAGACATACATACTTGAACTTCTAAGCAGGAGATGGAAATCTTCCAGGAAGGTACTTTCTATAATTACAGGGTTGTATCCAACAGGGACGCGGGTGGCGCTGTGGGTAAAACCTCAGTGCCTAGGGCTTGCCAATCGCATGGTCGGCGGTTCGAATCCCCGCGGCGGGGTGAGCTCCCGTCTTTCGGTCCCAGCTCCTGCCCACCTAGCAGTTCGAAAGCACCCTTAAGGGCAAGTAGATAAATAGGTACCACTTTATAGCGGGAAGGTAAACGGCGTTTCCATGTGCTGCGCTGGTGCTGGCTCGCCAGAGCAGCTTCGTCACGCTGGCCACGTGACCTGGAAGTGTCTCTGGACAGCGCTGGCCCCCGGCCTCTTAAGTGAGATGGGCGCACAACCCTAGAGTCAGACACGACTGGCCCGTACGGGCAGGGGTACCTTTACCTTTATCCAACATTAGTCATACTCAAAGTAGACCCACTGAACTCAATAGGCATAATTAAGTCCATTAATTTTAATGGGTCTAATCTGAGTGTAACTTAGTCGGACAGAACCCAGTTTTTAGGCTATTTGTAGTACAATAACCCCTCCTTAATGTGTTAATGACAGTAACAAATGCATGGTTTACCAATCTGTCACCAAAGGTACCATAGTCAGGATTTTTGTTTTCTGTTATCCTACACAGGAGCAAGAGGGCCTGGAGACCCAACTACAACCTGTGTCTGCACTCTTGCCTTGCACTGTGTTGCAGCTGTTGACTCCCAGTTCAGTGGACTAGATGAAAACCAAACTACGGTTTGTAGTGAGAATGACAACTGCATCTCCAAACAGAAAGAGCAGTTATTACCACAACAGAAAACCACTTGCTGAGCAGGACAGTAACTCTGTACTTTACCACAGACAACCTTCTAATTAAGTTGTGATTATGCAAGTAAGAGGTATAGAATATAAATAGTATCTCTAACTGCTGGGAGTGAGATAGGATGAGAAATGGAAACCATAGAGAATTGGATCATGGAGTGCCCTCATACATTGAACTGATAAAAATTCACAGCCACAAGATCTGATAGTTTAGATGATTGTCAGAGGGGATTACATGAATTTAAGAAGCATAAATCTGTTAATGGATACATGTCATGACGGCTATATGCTTCTTCCAGGTTCAGGGGCACCATGCCTCTCCATATTAGTTGCTGGAGAACAATGGGAGAGAGCACCATTGTCTTCTTGTCCTGCTTATGGGCTTCTTGTAGGTATCTGGTTAATCACTGTGAGAAACAAGATGTTAAGCTAGGCAAGTCTTTGTCTGATAAAGCAGAGGTCCTTATGGAAACAGCTCCAATTTAACTATATTGCATTATTTTATATAGGACCCTTTGGGGAGCCTTTTAATTAGAAAGTGGGTAAGGGAAAAAATAACATACAGCTGCGCTACATCTAGTTAACAGTAGTGATTAACTTAAAAGCTGCATATGGACAATCTCACTTTTGGAGACTGGGAGAACTATTTAAGCACTCACAATCCTTGCACCTTGTGAGTGATTGTGCATGCCTGTACAAATGCATGAGTACAAATGAGTATGTTTGTATGTCTCCTAAATAATAATAATAATAATAATAATAATAATAATAATTTATTTATACCCTGCCAATCTGGCTGGGTTTCCCCAGCCACTCTGGGTGGCTTTCAACAGAGTAGTTAAAATACAGTAGTCTGTTAAACATTAAAAGCTTCCCTAAAGAGGGCTGCCTTCAGACATCTTCTAAAAGTCTTCTATGCCCATCCTAGTTTGCCTATTGTCAGTCCGTATGGAGAACAGAGACTAGCACATGAATAGCATGTGCGTTGCAATCTACACAACTGACTCCCCACCTACTCCCCATGCTAGCTGCAAATTTCAAACTGGATTCACACTCCACCCTGGTCATGGATTTACTGAGTGCTACATAGTCTCACCCTACTTCTAATAAATGGGAACAAATAGTAGACTACTTAATTGAAAAGAAGCAGTCCTGCACCACGAGGCTGAATTATTCAAGAACTTGGAATCAACTTAAGCCTTACTTTTATATCCTTGTAATGTGCTTACAATTGGATCTTAAAATTTCAAGCACTCCAAACTCTTAATGTGCAGGGATTCTAATCCACAGAGAGCCAGAATTCAGTAGTTTTTTGCAGATAATCCTTGTGTGTTGCTGTTTAAGATTTATCACTTCTTTGTTGCTACACACTAGCATGCAGCATAAACAAACAGTGATTTCTGTTTTTGCATTATGTTTGAACCTGGGATAGTGGAATTGTTTCACTCCAACAAACTACTGTACAATCTGTAACCAAGGTTTATTGTTGGCTGGCTAGCTGTACTTAAAGCAAAATAAACCATGTTCTCCTGCCCACTAATGCAGAGGGGCAAAGTGGCCCAGATCACATGTTCATGGTAAACCATTAATGTGTGAACAGTGTAATTGTCTTCCTCTCACTGGTACACATGCTATATTTCAGGAGCTATGCGCTATCCTGCACCATGAACCTTTTATTAAGCCTTTGAGAAACCTTCATTGTGGTGGTATATGCTTTTGTGCTTGTGTAAATGAGGCAAGCTCTTCCTTACTCATAGCAGAACATAAACATTTAGGAATTTAGGAATACAGTATAGGAAGCTCATACACATACACCATCTACAGTGCCTGCCAGCAGCTTTCTAATATTTCAAATAGGGTTTTCCAACCTTAGCTGGAAATGCAGGGATGAAACCAGATAGCTTTTTGCATACAAAGCATTTGCTTTATCACTGTTCTAACCCTTCCTTACATTTTCCATCAGTTACACTGTGCAGAGTGTTGCCACGTGTTTAAAAACCAAAGCATGCGCATCTTTCAAAAGTTGCCTGATGTGCAGACACTCAACAGATGCAGCCTCCCATCCAGCTCCACATGCTGGTGGAAAACCCCACCTGTTGAATTTGGCTGTGCCCCGTGAAATCATCTACTTAATAAGCTCACCAGCAGCCAGTATTCAACAGGTGGAATTTTGTTGTCCGTCCCCCCCCAAAAGGGGGGGATGTGCTTTGTAAGAAAGAAGCTTATGCTCGGTCTTGCGCTGAAGTTCAACCCTATCTGGAAACCACCCACCTCCCTAAATGAATAGGTAGAAACTAAGTGGAGCCCACTGTGCCCAAATCCTTTGGATCACCCACCACCTCACGTCCAGCAGCAAGAGGAGACGGTGGAGGCAGCAATGGGTCGCTGGCACCAAGCAGCTACAGATTTCTGGGAATCGGGTGGGGAGGGAGGACTAGATCACAACCCTCCACCTACCCACCCCCTTAAAACAAAACCTAGTCCAGGTATAGGCAAACTCGGCCCTCCAGATGTTTTGGGACTACAACTCCCATCGTCCCTAGCTAACAGGACCAGTGGTCAGGGATGATGGGAGCTGTAGTCCCAAAACATCTGGAGGGTCGAGTTTGCCTATGCATGAGCTAGTCAGAACAGGCCCTGACTGGGTCTGACCCGAGGGTGAAACGGTGATGCACTCTGCACGCGCTCAGGAGGCTGGATTGCCCAGAGCACCATCACTCCCCGTGAATTTCAGCCAAGGGGCGGCGCCCAGCTCCCTATTCGGCCCTCCTCCGTCGCCCCTCTCCCGCTCCCCCGGGGACCCTCCGCCAGGCGCTTACCCTCAGGAGCTACTCCCTTATTAGCAGGCAGCCGCCTCTCGGCTTGAAGTCGCAAGCTCCGCCTTTTCCTGCCTTCCGTCATGGCTGCCGCCCGCCGCTTCCGGTGCCTGCCTCCGCGAAGGAGCAAGCGCGGCAGGGCCGGCGGCACCTCCGGGGAGAAAAGCCGGGAGCTTCGCGAGGTGGAGGTCGGGGAAGAGGAGGAGGTTGCGCCGGCCCGACGGGGGCGTCGGCGTCGTCTGCGTGGTTCTCCCGGGCCCTACGATCGCTCGGCGGGGGAAGAAGGGGCGAGTTTTGTCTACGGGGTTTCCCGGGCGGAGACGCAGCTGAGGTAAAAAGAGCAGGGGCGCTGGCAGGAAGCGCCTTGATCTGTCTGAGGAGCGGCCAAGGGACCTAGTCCCGCCTCTCCCGTTAAAGCGCTTCTTCCCCGCCGCATTCAAACACCTCGCTCCCCTAATCTGACAGTTTATAAAATCCCCGTCTCTCCCGTTAATGTTATTGCCGCTAAACCGCTTTCAGGTGTTGTGGCTTCCCCTTCACAATCAAGCGGTGTATAAAATTTTAGGAAACGAAACAAGCGGTGGTTTGTAACCCGGATGTTGATGCTTTTATAGAGAATGAATCGAGGCGTTCCTTTACCCGGAATTTGGGTCCGCCTTGTTTCGTTTTCAGGCGACATTACAGCTCTTTATATTGTGTGTTGGGAAAAATGTTAAGATTAAATTTATATATATATATTTTTAATGAAATATTTATTAAGCTTTTTTAGAATAATACAGTAAAAATGAAAAAGAAAATAGAAAAATACAAAATAAAAACAGTTAAAAACACACATATTTTCTGTTACTTATTTTCCTTTAACTTATTTCCCGGACCTCCTCATACCTCCCTTTTTTGTATTCCGCTTCAATTTATTGGTTCAGCAAATCCTTACCATTAAATTTTAACCCATTTATAACCCTTTTTTCATATCACTACAGCTGGAAACCCCTTAATTGCTATCCAGCATCATTCTATCATTCATTAATTTTACAATATTTCTGTAGATAGTCTTTAAATTTCTTCCAATCTTCTTCCACCGACTCTTCTCCCTGGTCTCGGATTCTGCCAGTCATTTCTGCCAATTCCATATAGTCCAAAATTTATATACCGCCCTTTATCCGAAGAGCACCGGCGTTTTGTAGCAGAAAAACAATACATAACAACAACGAAGCAAATACACTTCCCCCTCCTGCCTATTACAGTATTTCAATCATCAGCTCCTGCTTTCCACCCCAGTTTTTGTTTGGTTATTTACGGTATGTTTTTTTGTCGGTTTGTGTTGTTAATACAGGTTTGTATTATAACATTGCAAAACCCAGTGCTTTTTTTCTTTAAGAAATTGCTTAGGGGGACTCCCCTTTTGACTCAAGAAAATCACCATTTTAGAGTTGAAATCAGGAAAAATAAATACAGTCAATGGACCAAAGTACAAAGATTCACAAAATGTTTAGGTGTATGCGTACCCCTGCATCCCTCCAGAAAAAAGCACTGGCAAAACCTAATAAAAATTACTTTAAAAATAATAATCACGACACGAATCAACGCATAGTGTGAAGAGCTTTGTATCATCATCATCATCATTTTATTATGTATACCCCCGCCCACCTTGCCATTTTCTACCAGCCACCTTGATAGGTGCACCTGATGTTGATGGGTTGCAAACACATAAAAGCACAACACAAAAAAGAGTCTTGTTGGATCAAACCAAAAGGCCTATCTAGTCCAGCATCCTGTTCTTACAGTGACCAGCCCAATGCCATTGGGAAGCCCACAAGCTGCACCTGGGTGCAACAGCGCTTCTTTTCCCTTTGTGCTCTCTGGGAACTGGCATTCAGAGGCATAATGCAGGCATAGGCAAACTCGGCCTTCCAGATGTTTTGGGACTACAACTCCCATCATCCCTAGCTAACAGGACCAGTGGTCAGGGATGATGGGAGTTGTAGTCCCAAAGCATCTGGAGGGCCGAGTATGCCTAATGCCTCTCATTCTGGAGGCAGCCTTATGCTTGGTAGCTGCTGGTAGCCGTAACCTCCATGAATTTGTCTAAAAACTTTCGAAGCTGTCCAAGAAGATGTCATTATTGCATCTTTTGGCATTACTTGGAGTTCCTGGACCAAGGTCAGGGTGTTAAATGTTGGTATATACCGTAGTTTTCCGTGTATAAGACATGTTTTTAAATTATAAACTAATGTTAAAAATTGGGGGTTGTCTTATACACAGATAGTGCAGGGCGATTGGTTGCAGCCGCGAGCAGGAGATTGTCAGTGGCGATTGGGCGGGTGATTGGTGGCTGCTGGCATCGAGCGGGCAGATGATTGGTTGCTTTGGCGACGCGTGCGATTGGCAGTGTTGGTCAGGCGGGTGTGCTATTTTCTGCAATTCCCCTCCACAAAAAAGCTCAACAACTTGTGGCAATTCCCCCCCCCCCCAAATAGCTCAACAACTCTGGGCAATCTCCCCCACCCCATTTTCTTTATTTGGAGTCCCCAAAAATAGGTGTCGTCTTATACACAGAGGCGTGTTATACACGGAAAAATACCGTAGTATAGCTTGAGACCAGAACAGTGTGGGGCATGAGAAATAACCTTGCCCCAGATATGACTTTAGTCTATGGAACTTGCATTGTTGTTGTTGTTTAGTCTTTTAGTCGTGTCCGACTCTTCGTGACCCCATGGACCACAGTCTATGGAACTTGCACTGTTAGAGATGCTAAATAATCCTAGCTGCTCACTTAGTGCGGTGGAATCTACACTTTGAAACTGCTCACCTATAAACACCAGACAGGCGCCTTCACTGTAATCTTTTTGGTGCCTACTAAAAAATCTTTTTTATCAGGCAAACCATGTTCCCATGTATTTTTAGCTATTGTTGATTTTAATGAATTATATTTTGATTTTTAAAAAAAATCCACATAACTCTTCATTTATTGACAACATTAATGTTTGTTTTATTTTCTGTAAATTGCTTAGAGGTTTTATTTACAATCAAGCAGTAAATACATTGTTTTAAATAAAATAAATATAAGCTGCAACTTTCTTGTGTAACTTGAGTTAGTTACTGGGACTGTGCCAGATTCAAAAGTCTTGCAACCTATATTCTAAATGCACAGTATTATTTCCAGAAACTGTTTTATTTTTGCTAAGAATAAGGTGACAGATTTCCTCTTAAGAAACTTGTACTTTTGAAGGGGGGCATATATTTGTTTAAAGTTCTGCTCTTTCATTATTTATTTTCATTTAAAGATACTGCTATGGCTGCTACTCTGAACTTGGAGCTAGACCCCATATTCCTGAAAGCTCTGGGCTTTCTGCATTCAAAGAGCAAGGATTCAGCTGAAAAGCTAAAAGCACTACTGGATGAATCTTTGTCTAGGGGGATTGACTATCGCCCATCACAGAAGGTACTGGAGTGAACGAATGAAATGTGTTAGATATATTTGTGCTGTATATAACTTCTGAAATGGGAGGCTCTTTCCTATTACTTGAAGAAGCCAGTAAGAATTGAAAAGAACTTCAAAAATAATCAGTATCTACTTTCATTTGTCCGTACATTTGCATTCTGATCCAGTACATGTATATTCAGAGGTGAGCCCCACTGGGTTCAACGGGCTTATTTCTTGTTAAGACTACTTGGGACTTAGAATCCTATTCTGAATATTAGAAATCAATGAAAAATAGAATTTGTAGCCAGTGAGCAGAATGTGGCTCAAGTAAGTAAGGAGTGGTGGTGGTGCTGTGAGTCACGTTTCAGGTTCTTTAAAGCACAGGAACAAGAACTTCTGTTATAACAGACCAGATTTCTTTCATCTGGGCTCCAGAAGGCCTTCTTAATGGTTCTGATGTGTTGCTATTGCCATCAGCATTGTTACTTGTTCCTTCATTAGTAAAGGGTTGGCCAGTGGGTAAGTTCTGCTTAGCCTTTGTAGTATCACAAGTGATAGATTGACCTGGTAGCTGATCTCATTGTTGACTTGGGATGTAAAAATAAAACCTGATAGCAGGGGAGAGAGAAGTTGTGGCTTGCATAGTAGAAGTGCTGACATTACTGTCAAAATGGTCCAGATCCTTAGCATACACAGGCTCCAGCCATCTTCTATTTAAATAATTTTGTGTAGGATTGGCATGTAAGTGACTGAACCAAAAAAAACCTTTATAGTATAAAATGCCTATACTATCTGTATTAAATAATCTCTATTTCCTCCACTTTGTTTGGCACTTTAGGGCAGGGGTAGCCAACATCGTGCCGCCTATATATTATGTATGGCAGTTCCCATCCTCCTTGACAACTGGCTGTGCTGGCAGGGGAAAATGGTATTTGGGGTTGGGGTAACATTTTAAGCTTTGTCACCTCTCAAAATGAAAACAAAATTGTTTTGATCTCAGCATAGCAACTATATCTAATATTACCATTAATACAACATTATTGTTATGCTTTATACAGGAGGTAGATCAGCCCAAAGTATCTATTACAAAACCAGTTTCTGTTAAGCAAGAGCCTAAGGCTTCCTCAAACCTTCCTTCAGGTAGCAATAATGGCAAGCCCATTGCAGCCGAAAAGGTGAAAAAAGAAGCGGAGAAGAGGTCTGCTGATAAAGTAAGTTCTACTGCTACCTGTAAAGCATTATTTGGATAGGAATTTTTGTGTATTTGGATAGGAATCCTTGTGTATGAATGTGTTCTGCTTTGCTAGCTGTGTCCTCTCCATAGTTAATTGCTCACTTCTTTCAAGAGTAGGAGCTGTGTGCTTTCTCTTCTATGCAGATTGTTTAGTTTTCAAAGGGTGCCCTTTTCCTTGTCTACAAATTCCTTAGCAGCTTTCCAGTGCTGCAGGCTGACAAGCAAGCATGTTAATTTTGCTTGGGCTTTGTTTATTTTGCCTCGCTTGCAATCTCACTTTACCCACCACTGTTTTTGACTGCATGACAGCAGGGCTTCTATTTAATGCAAGGCTGTAATTAAATCTAGCTGGTGCTAGCATGGAAATTAAGAGCAAGAATGATGGGCCTGGGAGCATCTTAGTTCAGCCATGAAGTTGCTTGGGTAGCCTTAGATAAACCACTACCTCT